TCATTCGCTTGCAAACATCTACTCATGTTCTTGCAATGTAATCAGCACGAGAGCATTCATAAGTGCAAATTTTCGATATATTCCTGATTCGAAAATGCGCCACAGCAACGCCGTATAAGGTTTTTGTTCATGAATTTAAAAATGTAGAAATAAATAAAATAAAACGTACAACTCTTCAACATAATCCATGAAGATGAGCGAATTGTTGAGGAGTGTGCATCCGACGATTGGATAACTCGACGTGATTGTGAACACGGGAAATAACGCTAGGAAATAGTCGCAAATTTTGTAGAAGACTGTTTGGAAATACTCAGTATGTAAAAAATTCAACGAGTAAACGTCGAGTATATTGGTGAATGCAAATGCACCGGTCATCGAGAGAGCCACATAAAAGAGGAACACACAGGTATAGACGATAAGGACACCCAACATTACATTCTTTTTCGACCTGGAAGGATTTTTCCTTATCACAATCTGATGAAATTCCTATTGAAACCGTCAATAAAATTTGAAATTCTAAATGGCATGTGATTCTGATCATAAAATATGGTATGTTAAAGAAAATGATGAAGTCACCGCGCAGTTTTCATGCTGACATCAATCACCTATCCTACTTAATAGCTCCGATAGAGGTGTTGTATTTGGATTGAAATATGGATTAAGCGGACAGACGAAACGTCAAAGGCAATACGGCACTATTCAGTTAGGTGATGTAACAGTACAATTGAGAAGGTGAAGAATTTACTTCATTGGAGTGATTAAGCTCGGTAAACTATGATGGCACATAAAAGCGTAAACAGTGGTTCCGAACAATGAGCCAAATCCCTCAGCAATCACAGGTTCCGCTTTGCCTGGTGTGCCATTAACACCTAGCGATATCACAGCGAGAATGATCATCAGAATGAATGCTGAAATTCATCTTCGTTGAATCGATGGCAGTAAAATACCACTCAGTTTAATTCGGAACCACACAAATCGTAGCATTGCACAATACATAGCATTACAGGGAAATGAAATTAAAACTGAGCACTATCGTGAAATCGAAGTGAATTCCAAGACGTATCTGCTCGAAACGTACCTGTCCATCTGCAAACAGAAGTAGAAATCTGCAAATATTTGGTTCGAGAGACGCCGATAACGACGAGAGGTGTCACTAGCAACACAAAGCCAGCAACACAAATACGATAAATTGCAGCTCGATTGCTCCATGCGGGCCAGCTGGGCCAGCAAGGGTCATCCCAGTTGACGGTGTTACTGGCATTTGCACTATCATTTATACTCGCCGAACTAAATGTTGGTAAATTAGTTGGTTGTAGAATAGGTGCTTTGAAATGCTGATAGCGACTTGCATATTTGTACCATGCTGTAGTCACTAACAGATCAATAATTGAAATTTAATTCTGAATGAAAATACACCCCCCCCCCACCACTAACGAGGCCCATAACTGACAAATATCTTTTGGAATTTTTAGAAGCGCATCATTCAATACGTAAGATATTATCAGTGATTATTTTTAGGACAGTAATGTATTTCAAGAGCAAATAGATTTCATTTAACAATTTTTTCGAGGAATTTTAATATGTGCGGAATGTATTCGATTGTGAGGAATATTCGAATTTTACAGCGCTAACCATATGACGTTCATGAGTGATTTTGGTACTGTGACGGTATATATAGTTAAATCACCGAATAGATACACAGCCATTACGAGCGTTAGTATCATCACACCATACCTTCCCATAAAAAGTTGCGCCATATTACTCTGTAAATAAATAACTGCCTTTTTGGATTGTCATTCCCGAAACACAGTGGTTTCAGTGATTTTCGTTTAGATGGTACCACCTCAAATATATTTCATTGTTCAGTGGTGCTTACAAATGCTTGGGAAATCGAATTTTTGCGCTTAATGTGAGATTTCGACTTGGCATAAATTTTTTCCCATGAAATAATTGAAGGAATATGAACGATACTTACGACTTCGGTCCGATTTTTGATTTTGAATGCATCACTAATGTCGTGTTCCGTTATTGAACTTCTTCTCCTTCCGATCAGTCTACTCGTTTGAGTTGCTGCATTCGCAATAGCCATTCCCTCGATGACGAATGTTGCGCAAACATAACTATAAACATAACTCTTTCTGCTCTTTCCTCATGCTATCTAGTGTGCATCATTCCCGAATGCAGTCTGAATTCGTTATCGTTACCTTGGAATGAAGAATCGTATGCTTCTTAATTCCAAGGTGATAACGAATTTATTGTTTTCATTCGATTTGTGATCACATTCATTCAACGCACACTAACCGAGACTCGCTCACTGAATAATCGTCTCACTTTGGCATTTTTCTTTCTTCTCAATAACCACGTAGTCTAGCAAGATTNATGAAGAATCGTATGCTTCTTAATTCCAAGGTGATAACAAATTTATTGTTTTCATTCGATTAGTGATCATATTCATTCAACGCACACTAACCGAGACTCGCTCACTGAATAATCATCTCACTTTGGCATTTTTCTTTCTTCTCAATAACCACGTAGTCTAGCAAGATTACGCTCTTTTGCACTAATAAAGTGGTTATGAGATTAATTGCACCCATAGAATTATTATAATATCTAGACAATGCTCAAATACTAGACCAGTGTTTCTCATTGGGAGAGGGAATTTAGGGAAGTGAGAATT